CGACGAGACTCTCATCGCGCATCTGGTTCAGAGACGGGGTTTCCGAGTACCCGTGCAGAAATATGTGCGTGTGTGCGTCGACGAGACCGGGCAGGACGGTCAGGCCTCGGAGATCTATCGTCTTGGAATCGGAGATGCCATCCTCGCGTAGTGGCTCGGTGCGCTCGTATGTCCTAAGTATGAGTCCTGTGTTGGTGTCGACATCGATGGAGATGTTTTGCAGGAAGACTTTATTTTTGGAATCGAAGAGATTGGATGTAAGTATGGTTAAATGATTTGCAGCCATTTTCATATGACGGGTTTGGGATTGAATGTTGGCCGTTTTTTTTTTTTTTTTTTCTTTTTTTCTTATTTTTCTTTTGTGATGAAGTTTGAAGGAGCAATTATGAACAAGTCAGGATTGGCAGTCCATCAGACCAGACTGGTAAGATTTCTCTGGGTGTATTAATACTGAGTGATTTTTTTTATCTCCATGTATGAGTTCAGCTGGGATGAAAAGCAGCCAAGTCATAACATGCATGGCTGCCCGAATACGTGTTGCAGGCATCGTCGTCGTCGTCGTGGGGTCAATATCATATAATTACTAGGTAGATAAGTGGGATCTTGGAAAAAGGCATACATATCAAAAGTGGGTGGGTTGATGATACCTTGACTACACACATCTACTCGCTTTGAATACATTGTTCAAATTCCAAAAAAGAAAAAAAAAAAAAAAAAAAAAGTCTTGGACATGATGAAAACATTGGATTGGATTCATGTCTACTACTGACCACGATTAAGCAAAAAGTAAGGGCTTTGTCCATTTGATTTATCGAGGTCAAGCTTCTAGAAAAAGCCATCAGCGAGAGGGCGGGGGGGACAACCGACGATGCTACCCTAGACGAAATACACGTTCCCGAAAAGAGGCGTGATGTGAAAGTTGGCCTCGTCCGGGGGATTCCAAGCGCCGAGCGTCTGATTGGGAAACGTCGCCGGCGACACGACGGTGCGCAGGAAGTTCATCCGCCACTCCGTCCCTTTCGCCAAGCCCTCGTCGATGTTGAATAGGCCCAGCGGGATGCTTGCGTCCGACACCCAGGTCTTCGCGTCTCGGTCGAGCCGGGTGCTGGCTACCAGCCCATCGACCAAGGGAGTCTTCAACATGCACTGGTCGAACGGGGCGCCCTGGGCCCGCACTTTGGACGGATTATAGATGAAAGCCTGCCAGGTGACGTTGTTCGGATTCACCTCGAACTCGAGGTATTGCTGAGGGTCGTTGGTCCCGCGGTATATGAAGGCCTCCATGACCTCGTAGTTGTAGATGGGGTCGTTCGTAGTCTGGCTCGCGTTGTAGTAGAAGTTCACCTCGTCGAGGGCGGTGAATGTGATCTGGATGGCGGTGTCGGTGTAGCACATGTCGACGTGCGTGCGAGGGAAGTCTTTCTTGCCGCTGGGGACGGATCGGTTGTATTGGATGCTGCCCTTGCCGTCGGTGCAGGATGGGACTTTGAGATAGGGTAGTCGAGATGCTGTGCATTTTGCGCTGAAGAGGGGGGCGCTTAGGAGGAGAAGGAGGTTGATCCAGTTCGGCATGGTTCATGAAGATGGGTGATCGGATGTTGTTTTGTTGTTTTGTTGTTCTGTTGCTCTGTTGCTCTGTTGAACGTGGTTTGGCTTTCGACACGACTGGTGGAGAGTCCAAGACCAAGAGACGACTCTCGTAAGGACTTGGAAGAATAGAAAAGGGAAGCACTCTGAGTTGGAAAAAAAAAAAAAAAAAAAGGAATAAAAGACGGTCAGTCAGTTCGGAGTGGGCATTTATACCTGTGAAGTAATTAGGGTAAGCATCTATTATAGCTCTGTTGGAAATCTATACGCCACGAAAATGCTGTAGTGCAGTGCAGACAAGCATACAATGAACGGGGCACGGATATGGAGTGAGCTGAGGTGAGTGAAGTGCCAACTGGTGATTCCGATGACAACAAATCCCCTTTGACGGATTCATTCTTGACTGGACCCTCTGGACCCTCTAGACCCTCTGGACCCAGGACCCAGGACCCAGGACCCTGGCAACTCCCTCATCATGCCCCGTGGGGCTGATTCGGCGGCTTTTGGGGCATGACCGTCTTTGTTTGAGCCCAGTGATGGCAACTTGCATCACATACAATCTCCATCCCATCATCCCATCATCCCATCATCACATCACGCATGGCTCGGCAACCCAGACATATCCATCCAGTCTTGTATCTATCTGGTTCCCCAAATATTACAGCTTGATGCGATTGGTCACGCCCGCCCCGGCCCTTCACTGGTTCTCATGACCCCCCAGTTTTGAGTCTTCGCTGACCGGGGGCACGCAGATGATGGGAGTGTACCTGGTATCTAGAGTAAGCATATAAGTATGTCAGTAAGTAAGTAAGTAAGTAAGTGAGGGTTGTTTGCCTGTGTGTATGTGTATGTGTGTGTGAATTCTCGAATGTATTGTTCTTTTCTCCTGTCTCAGAACAAAACTACTAGATAAGGTCTTGTCGCAAAGATCGGCAGATCGGCAGATCGGCTTTTCCAGCGCGCCACTAACCTGGTCCTAGCTACTTTTTACCATTCTCTAAAAAGAAAAGGGTATTGAGGCATGACCCCATCAAAGCTACTTTTCACTTTACTTGTCTGTGCACGCAAGGCAGGACATCCCGAGCGAGAACTACGAATCTTATCCTCAATTCGACACTCCAGGTCGAAGAAAAGGCGACAGTCATGTACGTGTTAGTACTAATAGTACTTACTCAGCTCAGCCACCGTGAAGCAGTCAAGCATAGGAAAGCCTAAGAAAACCTGTTGTGTCCGTTCATCGGCGTGTCTCTCGCCCGTCGTTTACTCTAAAGGCCATGAAACCTAGGTCGAGGAGGAGAAGTAAGCAGGCCTAAAGAGAAGAAGGTGGGTTTGCCGGTTAGTTCAGCTGTCGGCGCTGAGCCTGGTCTTCCTCGAGGATCTCGGTTATCTCAGGCAAGCGGAACTTTTCCCACGAAACCATGTCAACGAGCCCTTCGCTGATGCTGTGGCCGAGCCAGGCCATCTGCGCAAGGCCGCCAAACCAGAACCAGTCGGGACGTCCAAAGACGTGTCGCGCCCAAACTGGTGCTTCGGGACGCAGACTTTTAGTAACGAGTTCGTGTGCAAAGGTCTCCGTATCGACGGTGTTCTGAGTCTGGCTGAATTGAAGTCGCCACTCGAAAATGTGTCTGACCTTCCAGTAGAGACTGTCCTCGGGAAGCGTGCGATGACCGTGGCTGGCGGTGTTGCTCTTGACGGTACCGGTAACGGATACCATGACGCGGACGCCAAGGGGCGCGAGCTCGAGGCGAAGAGTTCGCGAGTAGGCGTTGACGGCAGCCTTGCTGGCGCAGTAGACAGAGCCGAACAAATAGGGCGAAACGGATGAGACCGATGAGATGTTGATGATGAGACCCTTGGCGGCGATGAGCTGGTCGATGAAGGCCTGAACCATGGCCATGATAGAGAAGACGTTTGTCTCGAACGTCTGGCGGACATCAGGGAGCGAAATGTCAAGAGCTGGGTGCGTGTGAGTGCGACCCCTATTCGAAAGGTTAGCCAGTCGTCTCGGCTGTGTCTATGTGCAGAGGTGCCCTTGACCATCTCGTCGTCGGCGGGCAGAGAGGTAAAGCGCGGGGCCAAGGAGGCCTTTACAGCATTGGGGGAGGGGGGCGGTCTGTAGGTAGCAACTCACGCATTGTTGACTAGAATATCCAGTTTGCCACCAGTGATCTCGGCGACTTCTTCGTGACACTTCTTGATACTCTCTGCGTCGGTGACATCCAAAGCCAAGGTACTCATACCAAGCCCGGCCAGGTCTGCGATGACCTCAGGTCGGCGCGCAGTAGCGATGACGTGAAGGCCTATTGTCTAGTGAGCGAGAGAACGGTATGGATAATATGCCGAGAGACATTGGGTTGCTGAGCAGTGCGTACCTTTACGCTGATATTCAAGGCAAAGGCTGTGACCGATGCCTCCTGGAGTGCAACTATAGCGCCCGCAAGAATTAGTGTTCATGCTAACGATGTTCGTGATCTGCGCCGGGAGGAACTAGCGAAAAGGAGCATACCCGGTAATAAGCACCGTCTTCTGGCCTGGTGTAGGGCCCGACATCTTGTAGTAGGTAGTTGTCGAGGATCGCAAACAGGAGAGAGGAAGGATGAAGGAAGAGGATGCGGTAGAAGGAAACTACCGAATGCTCAAAAGATTAAAAAAGCACCTTCAGGCGAAGATGTTTTATTGGTCGTGAATGTGTGCAGTAGGTGTAGGTGTAGGTGTAGGTGTAGGTGTAGGTGTAGGTGTAGGTGTAGGTGTAGGTGGTTGTGCCTTGATGGGTCGTGTGTCGAAGTAGAGAAAGGTACCGGCGAGTTATGGTGGGGGAGGGGGAAGCTGGGAACATTCACTACCGGTACTTCGGTACTTTGGTACTTCGCTCCCATCATTTACCAGCACTTCAGATGCCATTTTGTACCTCCTGCCATGATTTAAGTCGTATCGGTTAATGGCACCTTCTGCCCATTGTCCTCTATGATCGTACCTGCCGCCCGTAAATGCGGCATCCATTCCGAACTTCATGGCCCGTTGAGACATTAGGAAGCTGTGCCTGGCCTGTACTACCTAAAAGTACTTAAGACCTCCCCCAAGTCTCGACACCGTGTGGAATCAGACAGGACTGTTGGACTTAGGCGCCCATTAGTATGCATTACCGTCTTATGGGCACTGTCTGAATACCTCCATTCAGCTTTAGCTTGCTCCTACCTGAGCTTCTTCCCATTAGTAACTTCCTTGTCGCCATGCCCGGAGGACCGGTGACTTGGGATTTTCTAGTTAAATCACCGTCACAACAATTAGAGTGTGTTCTTGGACATCATCCTCAGCCCTTCGAGCCAGGTCTACCCATACCTCCTCGCTGGTTCTGCAGAGCATAGCGGACCGCCAGTACATATGGCTCGACAAGCCGAGTTTGCAGCATGGGTGAGATGGCCGAGTGGTTATGGCGCCGTGTTCAGGCCTTTGTTCAAGCAGCAAAACCTTGAACAAAAATTCGCGGTGGAGCAATCCGCGTGGGTTCGAGTCCCACTCTCATCATCATTTTTGCCGATCCGGCATGTGAAATTGTCACCGGAAATTGTCACCGGAAAGACAGACCAGACGCCTAGATACCTATCTGCCGAGATGGATGTGTGGATGTGATCATTTTTGCTTTTGCTTTTGCTTTTGCTTCCTCTGCCAGCATGATAGATTAAAAGGCATGTCGCATGCCAGCTTTCAGTGTTGGTAGGATACGGATCCGTATTGTCTTGCTAATTAATAACCTAACCGATCATTTGCACCTCTTTCGTGTGCTCCCGACATCTCTACACCTTGACCATGGCAGCAATCGTCTCCTCAATGGGAATAGGCGTCATCCCAACATGACCCAGCAGTTTCTCCAGCAAAGTGTCATCAATAAGACACTCGCCATCCTCAAGCGCATCATACGTGCTAGCCCACCACTCAATCGCCGGTGCCGGATTCCCACGGTCCTCAACATAATACCTCTCATGTTCTTTCCGTCCAACAATCTTCACCTGCACACTCCTTCCCCTCGCCTCACCAACCAACTGCGCGACTTCGGCCATAGTCTTCGCCGTCTCGGGACGCGTAGACAGGTAAAACGTCTCCCCGAAGAACTCGTCCGACGCGATCCCCGAGACAGAATCAGAACCAGAAGACAAGACAAGCGCATTCGCCACCCCCAGATCAGGGATAGCCGTCCAAGAAATCCTCCCGTCCCCAGCTAACGGCACGACGTCCCGCTCACCACCAGCATGCGCCGCATCGAAATACCCAAGGTAAAGCGGCCACGACTCATTATACAGCCCCTCGCGTAGTATCGTAATCCGAAGACCGTGCTTCGCACTCACCGCGCGAAGATACGCCTCCGTGCGCAAGTGCGCGCGCATCACGCCCGCCTTACTCTTGTCCGTAGCCCGTCCTCCAGAGGACCCGAACGCTAGACTCGAGTACACGATCCATTTCACGCCTGCTTTCACAGCTGCGTCGATGGCGACTTCATGGTGCGTTTCTCTCCCCGGACCACCTACTCGCGCGCCGCTGGGATCGGCATGGATGCCGTCGTAGTCCATCGGCGCGCCGAAGTCGAGGGTGATGTGCGGCGTCGAGACGAGGAGGAGGCGGTCCACGCCTTCGAGGGCGCGCTCGAACGTTGCCGGATCCTCGAAGCGCGCGTGACGGACTGGCACGCCGGTCGCTGCGAGCTTGGTCCATTTCTCGGAGTCGGGTGATGATGATGTCAGGGCGATGACATCGGACGGCACCGCGAGCTTGTGGGTTAGAAGTGCGGAGACGGTGGCTCCGCCGAGCTTGCCCGATGCACCGACGATGGCCAGTTTCGCCATTGTGTATTAATCGCCTTGTTGTTTTATGTGCGAATGTTTGGTTCGGGATAGTTACTTATGAATAAGAAACGATAAGAGTTTCTTCCCGGGTGGAGGCAAGGTATGTATTAGTGGTAATCAAACTTTCCGGGGGCTCTTGTTGACAGACTTATCAACGGCGTAAATATCGCCATAAAACGCGACGCTAGTTCTTTTCTTATTAGCTTACGCTACTTGAGGGTTTTATATCCAGTAACTACGTATTATCCAGCAGCCAAGGTTAGGTATGTGTGGGAGTGGAATCCGACGTGGTATCGGAATGGAGACTCGGACCTCACTACCGCTCCATGAGGGGTCCTTCGAGAGAGAGACTCATTACTGTTCTATCATCATTTTAGCCGGCATCACACGGTAGACACTCACATGCCGTATCGAGTCCAGCTTACTCAGGAACGAGTATTTCAATGGGTATCGACTTCATTTCCGAAGCCGAAGGTTTTATACTACTAAATCATTTACAATCATGAAAGCGTACATCATCAGCGCTGATAGTCACCCATGCTTGCTTCTCTCGGGGCGTAATTCAACACTATCCTATTTAGATGTGTGTGTATGCATTCAATCCCGACAATCTGAATCCTACAATGTGACTTGTACAGAACTGATCAAATGGCGACAAAGAAACTCTTCTCGCCTTCCTTAGGAAGGACGCGCGCACGCTCCATAATCGGATCGGCACATGCCAATCGAATTCTCTCAGGGGTAGCCGGACTCTCAAGCCTCAATAACCCATCATCTTCGCCACCTTCCGCACCCAATTTGGGCTTAACACCGTAGTCTGCACGTGCAGATTTAAGGGCATCTCGGATCGCGAAGAATACCGCACTTCCCATAAACAAGGGAGGCTCGCCGACTCCTCGGCTCCTTTGGATAGTGCGCAGATTCTCCCACGTCACGCCCTTGAGCAAACTGACGTTGAAGACCTGCGGGATATCGCGGAAGCCTGGAATCTTATACGCACCTGGACCTTTGGTAAACAAATTTCCCGCCATGGGTCCGTTTCGTAGCCATAGGCTTTCCTCCATCGTGAAGAGGCCCATGCCTTGGACAAATGCTCCCTCGATCTGACCGTAGTCAATAGCTGGGTTGATTGAGTGGCCCACATCCATCTTGATATCAGCTCTCAAGCATGTCCAGGTTCCAGTAAGGCAGTCAATTTCCACCTCTGCCGCAGTAACACCCTGCGTAAAGTAAAAGAACATCTTGCCTACGTTCTCGCCCCATTTATAACCAATCTCCGGGGTCTTATAGAACCCGTTGGCACTGAGGTTTACACGATCGAAATAAGCGGCGTGTGCGAGCTCCTTCATGGTTGCTTTCGGCCCAAGCTTCTCCCGGTAGGGAGCGAGGCGAGCATTGATCTGTTCGCAAGCGTTGAAGATGGCATATCCGTTTAAATCTGAAGACGCTGACGCGGCTGTAGGGGATGTGTTCGCAACCGTATTCGTAGCAGTCTCTGAGATGAACACATCCTCCACGGGCACTTTTAGTGCTTCAGCAGCAATTGTGATCATCTTTGTGTGTAGGCCTTGACCCATTTCAGTACCACCATGCGCAACCAAAACCGATCCATCGTGATAGATATGAACTAGCGCGCCGGCTTGATTGAGGAAGAGCGCTGTGAATGAGATGCCAAACTTCGTCGGGATAAGAGCGAGACCTCGCTTGCGCCATTTATGACTTGAGTTGAATGCCTGGATAGCTTTCCGCCGGTTCGCATAGTCCGACTCCTCCTTGACCTGCTTGTACATCAGAGGCACATGCCAGTCTTCGATCGTCTGGTTGAAGTGGGTTTGGTCATTGACGCCGTAAAGGTTCATTTCGCGAAGATCCTCCACAGGCATGCCTAGCCGGTCTGCTATTTCAGACATCATTGATTCGACGATAAACATGCCTTGAGGCCCACCAAAGCCACGGAAAGCCGTGTTGGACATTGTGTTAGTCTTGCAAAGACGGCCACGAATGTGGACATTGGGGAACTTGTAGCATCCATCGATATGGCTCATAGCTCGCTCGCAGACAGCTGCGCTGAGATCAAAGGACCAACCGGCATTGTTGAATACGTCGACATCCAGGGCCTGGAGTTTGCCGTTCTTATTCACACCGACCTTCCACTTCGCCAAAAATGGATGGCGTTGTCCTGACATCACCATGTCTTCGTCTCGATTCAACATGCACCTAACTGGGCGCTTGACCTTTTGGGCAGCCAAGGCCATTATAGTGCTGAGCTGGACACATCTTGTCTCCTTGCCACCGAACCCTCCACCCAAACGTTTAACTCGCGCAACAACCTTGTTGGCCTGCACACCCGTGATCTTCGCAGCATATACTTGACTTTGAGCCTGTTAGCATATAGTCGAGAACCAGTGTTTTGAGTCGGGGAAAAGCTACCTTTCAGTCGGATTTTGACTGCTGGTCCATATCTCCATCTCGCCGTCTTCGGGCTTGGGTATCACGACGCACGCGTTCGTTTCCAGGTAGAAGTGTTCTTGACCACCCATTCGAGTTACGCCGGTAAAAACATGATCACATTTCTCGAAGGCATCTTCCACATCCCCCTTTTTGATGTAATTATAATATTTGTGGAAACTCTCTTTCTCGATAGCTTCTTCCATGGTATAGATGGCTGGCAGGTCCTCATATTCGATTTTCACCGCGCGGACTGCATCATTTGCCCTGGCCTTCGAAGTGGCTAGCACTACCGCGATGGGCTGGCCCGCAGTGAATACTTCGTCTTCAGCAAAGAAGTAATCGTCAAAGTGAGGAGCTCCCCATCTGTTGTCCGTCGGGTTGTGTAGGTCAGTTCTGTCAACGACATCAACGACACCCGGAATTTCTAAGGCGGCGGAATAGTCAATAGACTTGATCTTCGCATGCGCCCGCGAAGAGAAAACGATGGAAGCGTGCAGTTCATTCTTCATTGGTGGAATGTCGTCGGTGTATTGCGCCTCGCCAGTTACTTGCTTCAGAGCAGCGACGTGATTGCGGGTTTTGCCAAGTGACTCCTGGGCATAATCGGTAGTTGCTTCAAGATCTTTCCAACCTGTTGATAGTGCCCGCTCCAGTTCTTCGACGGCCTGGCTATCACCGTGTCTGCTTTCTACATTAATCTCGGATAGCACATCGTGATAGAAACGATAGAAAAAGCCTAAGGCCAGGGCTTTGCGGTAAGATGCCATGCCACCAGGGACACTGAACACAAGGTCGAAATCAGACTCGAGGGCGTTGATAGTGCCTTCAAGTGTGTCCGGATGCGCAAGCATCTTCCCCTTGAGATAGTCGTTTGCATGTTTGGCAGCGACAGTGAATGGCGCCATGCCACCATACACTAGGTTACAGTGTTTGACTGTACCTTTTTCGTCGACGGTAACGTGGAATGCGCTGGTTACTATCGCGATGTCGTCGTCTTTTCTCTTGGACTGCTTGTAGGCTCTAAAGTAGTCGCCCTTTTCGCTGGTCAGCGGTATGCGAATAGCAGCAATGATAGCATCCGGATCCAGTGAGGTCTTGCGATAGCCTCTGAAGAATGTGTCCATAGGCAACTCGGTCTCTTTATCCCTAGATTTTGCGACAAGAGTGCAGTTCGCGGCCATGAACACGGGATTTAGATCGGATATAGGCGACGCCGTAGCCAGATTCCCGGCCGGA